GACTGCATGTCGTAAAAGGGAGCGGGTTTCACGCGCAAAACATATGGTAGGATTGATGGACTGCTCTCGCTGAGTATACTGCAGGACGATCTCAACAGTACGATTGAGCTTTACCAGCTTACACCCTCAAAAACTATCTTCCAGCACGACAACGACCCGAAGCACAAGTCGCTTATCATACAGGAGTGGCTTTGAGAGCAAGATTCTGGGGTGCTAGAGTGGCCGTCTTCCTCACCCGACCTCAACCCAATGGAGCATTTATGGGCTCATCTCAAGAGGCAGCTAGCCAAGCCTTATAAGCCTCCCACTGGTATGCTGGACCTTTGGGAGCGGGTGCAGGAGAAATGGGAGAAGATCCCGGCGGATGTGTGCACCCACCTGGTGGAAAGCATGCCCAGGAGGGTGAGGGTGGGGTCTAAGGCGAAAGGGCAGTCGATTAGGTACTAGTTTGGGGTTGATGTAACTTGCTGCTTGCGCCTGGCAATAATTGTCCATATGTACCAAGATTGTTATTTTCTGGTATTTGTTGTAAACATCATTATACCTGTGTGATGTAAGGCATGGGCGTAGAGCCTTACCCTAACCTACATACACTAGGCACACCAGAAGATTAAGGCTTAATGTCCATGACCCCCTAAAATGGCAAAATTTCTCTAAGTCACAAACATGTGGACAATATTTTCCGTCAGTGTACGCGAGCTACAGTGACGTCGTTTCGGTAGCGGAGTGCTTCGACATGGTCAACGCCGGGACACGACGGACGCACGCCGGTTGTACGTGACAGGGCGACCGCTTGGCTCACCCCACGTTCGCCAACCCGATGGAAGTCGACAGGTTCGAGGGGTTGCCACGTCTGATAAACACCAACTACACGTGTGATTTTTGCGGGGTGCCGGGTTATCGAATCTTTGACTGCAACAAAATGAAAACCGCAATCGCAGAGTATCGGGCACGCAACAGTGGCGGAATTACTTCGGCCAATCAGAAGACAAAAAACGGGAGTCGCCAGTGATTGCGGATCTAGCTGGCGAAAATAAAAAGATCCGAAAGCGGCCGCGGGATTCCGGGAAAATCAACTTCGACGAAGCTGATTCGACGCGAGAAGGAGGAAATGATGGGGGAAAATCTCCACCCCACGACCAGTCTTTGCCAGGGAAAATCGCCGAGGAAAAATATGACTTCGCGAAAAAAGACTCTGCCGAGACGGGGAAACTCCTTGAAGACCTAAGAAATTATAAGGATTCGTTAAAGTTATCTTATAAAGATGTTTTTTAACGAAAATTTATGATTTTCGAGGGGCTAGAGCCTTGGAGAAATTTCGGGAGGGACTCCAAAAGAAGCAGACAGCTGTGGAGATTATACCGGTACTGGACAACTTGGGGAAAAAAAAAGGAGTGTGGAAAGAAGCCGACCTTTCCACGGAGTCAACGTCCTCTCCCGACACCAGCCCACAACGACTACCCGTTCCCCAGGGAAGACGTCGGTGGAGCTGAAGCAGCTCAAGAGGAAGCTGGGGGTCTACAAAAAGCTGCACAAACCCCGAACTCCTCCTCCGGATGCATCTAGTTCAGCAACTTCGGCATCAACAACGCGCATAGTCGTCAAGGAAACTCCGGGCCCTGGAGAAGAGCCGTTCTCCAAGCAGCCTCGGCCAGCTGCCAGCCCAGGAGTAGATAGCAACGAAAAGGTGTGTACGGAATATTGGGATGTACCCTATGACCCAATCAATGAGACTATCTTTGGGTACTCCGAGCAACGCCTGCCCCTCGTGCTCGAGGTCATCTGCAAAGGACGACGCCTCCAAGCACTCGTGGACAGCGGAACATCACACATCGTCTGCGACAAGGCAGTAATCGACCGACTTCGGAAAGAGTACAAGCCTTCAGGATTCTCTGCAACGATGGTGGACGGCAGCAAGTTACCAGTACACGACGAAGCAGTGCTACACCTACAAATTGGACCACTTCGCTGGAGACCTGCACTCCCCATCACCAACATCAAAGGGCTTGACTTGATCTTCGGGCGAGACTTCCTAAAATGATTCAACCCCGAGATCAACTGGGTGAACCGAACCGCAAGCATCTACAACAATGGACGGAGAGTACAGCTACCCAACTGGGACAATACAGGAGATATCCGAGACACTCGCACGATCCGAGAAGGACGTGAAGCGAACCGACACCGGGTTCCTGGCGATAGCAACAAAGGCGGAGAACGACAGAGAGAAGACCTCGAAACCTCCGAAAAAAATTAAGGAATTGCTGCAGGAGTTCCAAGACATTCTTCCTGACGATCTTCCGAACGAGCTACCGCCATACCGAACGCATCAAGAATAAATATCCGATACCGCGAATCGTGGAGGAACCGGGTTCGAAGCCGACCTTGCGAGCACCATATCGGCTCAGCCCTACGGAGCTGACTGCCATGAAAAAACAGATCGAGTATCTCCTAGCCAAAGGACTCATCCGACCATCCACTTCGCCGTACGGTGCCCCAGTACTCTTCACACCGAAACCGGACGGAAGCCTGCGCATGTGCATCGACTACCGAGCTCTTAACAAGCAGACCATCAAGAATAAATATCCGATACCGCGAATCGATGACCTGCTTGACCAGCTTCGGGGAGCTACGGTATTTTCGAAACTGGATCTGCGGTCCGGATACTGCCAGATACAGATGGCGGACAACTCTATCCTCAAAACTGCTTTCCGAACTCGGTATGGATCGTACGAGTATTTGGTAATGCCATTCGGACTCACCAATGCACCGGCAGCATTCCAAGCCGAAATGAACCACATTCTACGACCACTTTTGGACGAGTGCGTGGTGGTGTTCCTGGACGACATCCTCATCTACTCACGCGACATGAAGCAGCACGTCGAACACTTGCGACGCGTCTTCGAATTTCTTCGACGAGAACGATTCTACGTCAAACAGTCCAAGAGCGAATTCGCCCTCGAGAAGGTCCATTTCCTAGGACACATGGTGAGCGCTCAAGGAGTTCACGTTGACCCCAAGAAAATCGAAGCCGTACGTACGTGGAAGATGCGTGAGAACGTGAAGGAGTTGCAGCAGTTCCTAGGCTTCGCTAATTATTACAACAGGTTCGTGGCACAGTATGCGAAACTCGCAGCACCACTCACGAATGTGCTGAAGAAGAACACGCCCTACAAATGGGAGCCAAAGCACCAAGACGCCATGGAGCAGCTGAAACAAGCACTCACGTCCGCACCAGTACTCATCTTGCCAGATCCCGAACGCGACTACGTCATCGAAGCTAACGCCAGTGACCAGGCAGTGGGAGCAGTCTTAATGCAAGACCAAGGAAATGGACTGCAACCAATCGCCTACCTCAGCAAGAAACAGCACGGGGCAGAACTAAACTGCCCGATACATGACAAAGAGGCCCTTACCATCGTCATCGCCTTCAAAGCGTGGAGATGTTATCTCGAAGAACAAAGAACAACCGTGTACACCAACCACTGCAGCCTGAAATATTTGAAAACACAACCCAACCTTTCCAGGTGGCAGGTCCGGTGGATCGACTTCCTCGAGACACACTTCCACTACGACATCGTGTACAAGCCCGGCCACAAAAACAAAGCAGAGAAAGGCGGGACTACTGCAGCCTCTTCCTGTCCCAGAACAACCACGGCAAGTGGTTAGTCTGGACTTCATCACCGGGTTACCACCTACCACCAGCGGTCATGACGCCATCCTTGTCGTCATCGACAAGTTCTCCAAAATGGGACACTTCATCCCGACACACACGACAGCACGCACCGAAGAAACAACACAACTCTTCATTCGATACATCATCTCACAGCATGGCATTCCAACCACACTCATCTCCGACCGAAACCCCAAGTTCACCAGCAGGTTCTGGAAGGAGCTTATGTCTATCCGCGGGACCAAACTCGCCATGTCATCCGCTTACCATCCGCAGACAGATGGACAGACCGAGCGCCTCAACCAGATTGTTGAGCAACTCCTCCGAGCAGCCTGCAAGGATGAGATCTCCAAATGGGACCTACACCTGCCCGTTATAGAGTTTGCTTACAACAACGCTACACATGCCGCTACTGGACAGACGCCGTTCTTCCTCTGCTACGGACGCCACCCAGTCACAGCACAAAAACCGACAGCATCAGCTACAGTCCAACCTGCACATGATTTCATCACAACCATGCATCAGCTTTGGCGATCGGCCTAGCGCCTTCTCGACATTCAGCAGCAACAGAAGCGCTAGGCCGATCGCCATCGCAACGACCACACCATTACCGTGGGAGACCAGGTGCTCCTTGACACCCGCAACCTTGACATCCGCCATCTCCCATCTAAACTTCGACCTCGCTTCTGCGGGCCTTTTCTCGTTGAAGCACAGGTCACTCCTGTTACCTTCCGCTTACGCCTGCCAGCTACCTGGAAGATTCACAACGCCTTCCATGTCCAACTTCTGAAGCCCTATCGGGATCCGAACACGCTCTTCGTCGAACGCCAACCGCCGCCGCCGCCGCCCGTCCTCGTCCAGAATGAACCCGAGTACGAGGTCGAGTCCGTGCTTGCACACCGCCGTCGTCGGAATGGCACCGTGGAGCTTCTCATCCGTTGGAAGGGTTATGATCCTTCTGAGGACAGCTGGGTACCTGAGACCGACATGGGTAACGCCCGTCGTCCTCTGCATGACTACCTTGTCAAGCAGGGTGTTACTTCTACCACCCAGCTTTGAGGGGGGGAAGTGTGAGCGTACGACCCCGTTACACCACTTGTCCCTTTTCTGATTTCTTTCCTTTCATTTCTCTTTTTATCCCATCTCATTTGGTTTCCTATTCTCCATTTTCCATTAACCTTTGGTTTATCCTGCTATTATTATTATAACACCGACCTGGCTTGGGATGTACTGGTGCGCTATATCTAGCGTAATCCTGCCGTAATCCCTTAAAGCCAATAGCCTCGCGTGGCTATACGCAGGGTGATTCTATCTTCTAGAAGGGTCTATTCCCTTAGGATAAGATAAACCTGGTTACGTGATGTACTATGGAAGTATAAAAGCGCCTTGTACTGATCGATAGTGCGATATTTCCTCGAGTCATTCGATCCTGTGACACAGGTGACGCGAGCTGGAACAGATGTGAGGGGCATGATTGGTCCTTCGCCAAAATCACGCAGGCAATTTGACGCGAGCTGGAGCAAGGGTGAGGGGCGTGACTAGTCATTGGCCAAAATCTCGCTGGTAGTGTGACAATTTTAACCTAGTGAAGTCCGATCCGATCTAAGGATTAGAAACCTAAAAAATGTACCTGATTAGTCAGGTTTTTTTTTTTTTTTTTTTGGCCTGACAAAACATGCCCTGTCTAACATAATGTGCTAGGTTAAAATCCTACCCACCAATTTTTTTTGCCAAGGTTCAACCCTATCATCTCAGCTCTGAAAAAATTCACTCCTAATAATTCAGTCTTCGAAAAAAATTACCCTGAAAAAAATGCAACTTTCAAAACCCGACCCTGAAAAACGAGGGCTCCTGCTGGGGGCACCCTGAGCCAACAGCCCCTCAAAATCCAATATGACGCCCTGACCTAGATAAAACATGGCGCCCTTTTCATTAATGCGCCATTTCTAGCGAGGTTTGGAGTAAATTGGAGCTACCCCTATGCCAGGCAAACCTCCAGTTCAAAATTCAGCCCATTTGGATGACGAAATTGGGTTGTGGGGCATATTTAATATCTCTAGGGGGGTATTTTTTACGAACCTTATACCTAGATAATACATAGCAGCATTTCGTCAATAATGCGCCATTGGCGGAAGGTATGAATACTCTGTCCACCACCTTCATTGGCGTCAGTTCTCCGTCGGAACCTCCGTTCATGCGATCGAAATTTTCCTTGCAACCCTATTGCTTCGGCGACTCTCGACTGCTTGTTTACGCTATGGCTGACGGAAACCTTGAGGTGTCTGGGGGCCGGCATTCAGGCTGTGTTCAACAGGGAGGACTACGAGCGGCTCAAGGATTACTCTCTCGAACTCAATAAGGCGCTGATCAATTTTGGTTTCGCGTGATTTATCTAACCCTCGCTCCCTTACTCCGTGTCCTCTAAGCTTCGCTTCCATAGTAAGTGTCTTTCGACAGCTTACAAAAATGGGTCACGCGTGAGAGTGCGAAGGGACGATTTATAACATGTCTTTCAATCACTTATTTCATCTCACATAAATGAGCCTCCTCGTAGACAGCGAAAAGACGATTTAGCACGTGCCTTTCCGTCACCTCTTTCGTCTCACAGAAATGCGTCTCCCGAAGGACTAGGACTTTCATTTGCTGATTGACAGTTTGTCTGTCTTTCGATAGCTAACAGAAATGAGCCTCTCGGCAGACAGAGACGAGACGATTTAGCACGTGTCTTTCCGAAACTTGTTTCATCTCACAGAAATGCGTCTCTCGAAGGTCTACGACTTTCATTCGCTGATTGACAGTTTACCTATCTCTTGATATAGTAGCTTACAAAAAAGAGCCTCCTGTAAGACAGCGAAGGGACAATTTAGCACGTGTCTTTCCGTCACTTCTTTCATCTCACAGAAATGTGTCTCCTGAGGGTCTACGACCTTCTCCCTGTTATCATTACTATGGCTTTCTGTCAAATGCAGGTACTTTGCCAAAACGTTTCTGACGCTGGAACAACTCGAGCAGCTCCTGATTGTGCCTTCACAGCAGCTTTTGCAGAGGATGAATTTGAAGAGGCCAGCCTGGCCTATGGCTGCGACCTACGAGGCGAGCATGCTGCAGAAGCAAATGGTCGTGATCCCACTGGTAAAAAAGTAAGACAATGACAGATGAAATTCCGCATGCAGTTTCGCAGCGTTCTTGGACTAGTTCTGACGCATTTCTATGTCATTGGTGCGCAGGTGCAAGCACCCGCCGGGGTTGAAGGTGAGCCTGTTGCTCATTTTGCACCCGAATGATCTGATGCTAGAAAGGGGGTGGATCAATTGGAAGGCCCACATTGTGCACTACGATCCGAATGGGCACCACCTGCAGCTCCACAATGCGGAATTTGCAAAGAATGCTGTGAGGTAAGTTTCTGCAGATTTCGCTTGTTGTTTTCCACAGACTACCGCTCCACCGATGACACTCCCGTCATTGCTGTCACCGGGTTTCCCGTGGAAAAACAGTTCGAGGCTGAATACAGGTGCGACAAAGTTCCCTTAGGACATGAGGACTCGGTCGTCGAGGACATGAAGGCATGCCTGCGCCTCATGAAATATGAGAAAGAAGGGGTGTGTACCAACTCACTTATCATTGTCGGCTCACTTCTGTGAGACTCCATTTCCACAGTATAACACGAGCATTTTTGCCCGTCGATCTCGTTGGTCAACAACCTTCTACAATGTGCCCCACTACTTTGTGTTTGATTTCTCAGACAATCACTCGAATGTCCAAGTCTGTTTCCATGGGGGCTGGTGGAGCGATCATCTACCAGTTCTGCAAATTGTTGGCAAACTGGACTAGCCTTTTTGAGGTCGAGGGCGGAGCTGTTCTGCCGAAGTTGGAGCGGCCAAAAATTTTCCCCTCACTTGTGCTTGAAGAAATCGTGCACGTCTGTGTCGTGCACTTTGAGGGTGTCGCTGCGGAGCCATCTCACCGTGGCAGAGGCCGTCGTCAGCAACTTCAAGCCGTAGAGGAAAGCTCCAAGGAGGCGGAAAGCCACAGCAAGGCCAGAAAGTGAGAGATCCGCAGGAATAAACGTCAGGAATGCCTAGTTGCAGAAAGGGGTTCTGCAGTTGACGAGGGTGAGGAAGAAACATCTTTCTCAGTGGCAACGGCTATGGAGACGGATGAAGGCAAATATGTAGAGGGTTGTGACGATAGGGCGGAGGCCGAGGAGGGGGGTGTCGGGGAGGAAGGGCTGCTTGAGCACGACACTGACACTGCTGCAGCCGCACGTGTTTCCGCTTCTGGCGAGGTCAATTGTGCAGAAGTTCCACCAATCGAAGGCGCGGCCGCTGGAGTCGTTGGCCAACCTCCTGCAGCCCCTTCTGTTGCACAACCTTCTTCTGCTGAGGCACCTGTTGCACTTCCCTTTGCTGTTCCTCATGCTGTTGCTCCTGCCGTCGCATCACCATCTGCTGTTTCCCCTGTTGCACCACCATCTGTCGCCCCTCCTCCTGCTGTTCAAAGTGCCAAACTTTGTCTGTCGCCCTAACTTCTCCTGATGCCCCTGTTGTACCAGCGTCCGTCGCCCCCTCTTTGGCAGCCCCTGGTGCGGAACCATCTTCTGTTGTCCCACCTTCTGCTAGCGACCATGTTGTTCAAACTTATGTGGCCCCAGCTGTTGCCCCTGGCTTCCCAATTTCCATCAGTCCACCTGATGCCATCCCTGCAGTTGCCGCAACCTTAGTCATCCCACCGGTTGTTCCACCTTCTGCCAACCAACAATCCACCGACGGCGTAACTACAAGGGATGCGGGGATAACCACAATGGCCGCAGCAGCAACACTAACTCCGCCCATGGGGTTCGTTGGTCCTCAGGGCGGGCAAGTGCAGGCGCAGGGTACCATGGTGATGGAGGCATCCATTCTGCAAAATCCAGTGATTGCTCGTCTGACCGACCAGCTGACGAGGGAAATGAGCGTGAAGCAGGCCTTGCAGGCAAACTTCGAATATTTGCAAAGGCTGTTCGGGCAGGCTGTTGACAAGGAGCGGAAAGCAAAGCACAACAGTGACAGGCTGCACAGTCTTCTCAGCGACGCGCAGCTGAAGTTGATGCAGAGTGTGGCGGAATCCTAGAACGTGTCAGCGATACAGGTGGAGGAAAGCTATGGAGGTAACTCTCGATCTGGCACTTTTGGAGGAGGTGGGGAACGACATGTCTCAGCCGTCCCGAATCGAAAAGCTGTTGTCTGGACAGGCGGTGATTACAGAGAGGCAGGAGAAGCATGCAGCAGAGTTTGAGAAGAAGCAGGCAGAGCACGCCGGAGCATTTGGCAAGCTTTCTGAGATGTTGGATGAGCAGTGGGCGAAAGGTGTTGAAACGTCGTCTACTGGTGCTGATCATGCAGATGCTTTTAGCACCCTGGCGGAACGGTTCGAGAAGGCTAAAGGGCGGACAGAGGAGTCGCTGAAGCACATTCAGGAGGCGATGAAAATGATAACAGTGGAGAGGAAGCTGATGGAGAAGGCATGCAGCGAGCATTTGGCCCAGTTCAAAGCTGAGGGGACAAAGTGGTCAGGCTTAGAGAAGCACGCAGACGACATTTTGAAGAAGTGTCAGACAGCATTTGATGCACTCGAGGCGGAGCGGAACGTTGTTGAAGAGAGGTACGTTGCTCTAAGCCAAGCCCTTGAAAGTCAGAGTGGTAATATCAAGGCTGCGGTGCAGGGGGTGGTGGGACCGTCGAATGAAGCGCCGAGGCAGTCGTTGTGCAGGAAAATCAAACATGGGATGCAGGAGGCATTTGCGTGGGTTGGTGAGAATGGATTGCTTAAGGTTAGCCTCATGGCAGAGTTCATGGAGGAGCTCTCGGATCAGGTAATGGAAGCGGTGAAAGAGGGGGTTTCGAGGTAGGTCACAGCGGAGCAGGAGGTGCAGCAGAGACAGCAGCAGCAGCAAGAACAGCAGAAGGGGCAGCAGCAGAAGCAGCAGCTGCTGCTGTAGGAACAGCAAAAGCCGAAGAAGAAGCAACAGCAGCAGCAGCAGCAATAGCTGCTGCTGCAGGAACAGTAGAAGCAGAAGCAGCAGCCGCTGCTACAGGAACGAGAGG